ACCCCCCCGCCCCTTGGGGTGCTCCCGGGGTACGGTGCGCACAGCAGGGTCCGGCTGTTTTCCCTTTGATCAGAACCTGCGGTGCCGGGAAGGTGAGGAGAAGGCCCGGTCCGGGAGCGAAGAGGAGCGGGAGCTCCAGCCGACACCAGAGGATGCTCCGGGAAGCGCAGCCGGTGCGGGAAACGGCAGGGACCGCGGTGCGGTTCCGCGCTCCCCTCCCGGCGCAGGGACGGCAGGCTGGCAGGACTCCGAGGACGATGTTCTGAAATACGTCAGGGAGATCTTTTTCAGCTGACGTCGGCTCCCCGGAGGCAGAGGGGGCAGTGGGGAGGGTGTCCCTTCCCAGGGCACTGAGGCTGGTGGGAGGAGGGCATGGGGTGCGCCGCGTGCCCGCCGTGGGGGAAGGAGAGGGCAGGGGGCACTCACTTCTCCCAGCGTGGATTTGGCTCCAGATTCGGGTATGTGCATTTCTGTTTGGCATCTCAGGGCATGGACAGATTAAAGGAGACATTTGGGTTTCTGTGAGTGTCCCTTTGGTGGGTCAGTGTGGGGACCTGAGGGGAGCAGGGAGTTGCTGGCCCTGGAAGTTGCTGGCTCCGCAGAGCCCGACAGGCATGGCTCAGCCTCGGGACTCTCTTGTCCTTGCGGTCCCTCTGTGACAGCTGCAGTGGGGCCTGTCACGCTGACCCCATCAGACCCTGAATTTGCATCCAGGCTTGGGCAGGCCTCCCGTAGCTGAGGAAGATGTGTGGGAGCAGACGGGCAGGGGCAGGGACCATCCTGAGGGGGCTGACCCCATGGCAGTGTGCATGGGGGTCTAGGAAGGGATGAGGATGGGTCATGAGCTGTGAGGCCGGGGCGGGTGTGACAGCCTTTATTGAAGAATCAGTCAAACCAACATCACCCGCCGCAGGAGAGAAACAGACCCTTGTGTCCCTGAGAGGGATGGAGGGGAAAGCAGGTGCTGCTTTGTGCGAGGCTATAGACATAGCATGGAGCGGTGCTGTGCATCCCCATGGCGAAGGGAGCCCATCCAGTGCTCTGGCTGTGGTGGCCCTGCTGGGGCACTGCATCCCCACCTTTGGCAGCCCTGGCCCTGCTCCCGAGCACACTCTTGCGCGGGGCGTGTGTTGGTCTGAGCTGCCCTTGCACAGAGCCAGCTGTCCTGAGTCTCAAAGGCTGCTGGAGTGCTGCCCTCAGCCCTTTAGGATATCTAAAGTGGGAAGGGACCCTTAAGTGTCATCAAGTCCCAACTCCCAGCTCCTCGCAGGGCTAACCTAAAATGAAACCACATTACTAAGAGCATCCTCCAGACGCTCCTTGAACTCTGACAGGCTTGGTGCCGTGACTGCTTCCCTGGAGAGCCTGTTCCAGTGACCTACCACTCTTTCAATGGGGACAGACCTGGGGCTCTGCACCAAAACCCTCTGCTTCATCATGGAAACCCTCCTCATTAGGGCTGCGTTCAGCAAGTTGTTAGACTGCTCCTCCGAGTGCTTTGCTGCTGCTGGGGTTGGATGTGGGCCGCTCCCCCCCTAACGAGCTACAGCAGTCACTCACATGCTGTTCCAGCAGGTGAAATACAGATGTTATTGCTGAAGAGCATTTCCACTGCACCTCTGCGGCTGGCACTGCTGTGACA